GCGGTAGATCTCCAGATAGATGGCTCCATAGCAGTAGATGAATACGATCAAAGGAAAGGCATACATGGCGCACATTGTAGCAATCTGATAAAGCCAGTTGTCAAAGTCGCTCACAAACGAGTGGAACGTGACGCACTGAAAGTAGCCACGGACCACGGGATGCTCCTCCAGATGGAAGAGAAAGGCCTGTCAAAGATGCCAAACAGAGATGTTAATAATTGCAGTGGCTACTGGGGCACTGCTGAGTGGACACTCACCTGCGGAATGCTGCATATGACTGAGCCCATCCAGGCGCAGGCCAGCATAATGCGTCCCCGGTTGTAGGATCGTTGCAGCGGCTTCAGTATGGCATAGTATCTGGAGGATAAGGAGAGGAATGGGAAGAGCGCGTTCAGAAACTTCGATTGACACTTTGAGCCGCCTTATCTGGCTATCAATTTGGTCCATTAGCGACAGTCAACGGGGCAGGCAACAGACTCTGTCTGCAACAGGCTGTGGGATAGGGGGATAGGACTCACCTGTCTAGCGATATGCAGACCATCACAAAGCTGGACAAGTACAGTCCGAACACGCGAAAGAAGCTCATGAGACGGCACATCAGATCGGTGGAGCGCCATTGGACCGTCCAGGCCCACGCAATCTCCAGCGGCATCAGCAGCAGCGTCACCATTAGATCGGCAATAGCCAAATGCATTAGCATGATATCAATACGCAAGGGACCACGCAGTCGTCGCTTCGTCAGCAGATACAGCACTGTGCTGTTGCCAATTGTTGAGATCACAAAGAGTATGCTGGAAACGAAAGGAAATCCCATATAAAGAGAGGATAAACATCAAGCTTCGGGCGGGGGGAGGGGTGAGGGCAAAAGGTTCGGCCAAAGCCTAAATTGGTGAGTGGAAAATTAAAGAAGTTTTCCCCCGAATGGTAAAGTGGGTGTCTCTGCGAGTGTGGATTGTGTGGGTGCTCGCTCGATAAGTAGGTCAGATGGAAAGAAGTCTAGCTATGGAAAGGTAAATTGAATGAGGGAAATGAATTGTCTGCCATAAAGTTCTTAAAGATCAGTTGTAGACCATCTCTGCTTGGCTCTGTTTCAATTAATTTTCTGTTAAATGCGATCAACGAATGAATATCACTCACTATATCATGGGTACGTGAGGCGGTTTTAAAACTTCAGCAAAAAGTAGCGGAGATTCTCGTGGATCTAGTCATTTATATCTGCAGATTTTGTGGAGTTGCTCTAAAAAGTAATCCTCACTTAAATTATCTCCTTGGATCCCTCACAAAATATTCCTTCAGGTCAGTGATTGCTTCATGATTTTTCGTTTAAGAGAAAAGGATCTGATCTACTTCAGCTAGAACAAATTCCTATTCATATAATACTTCCAAGTATTATAACACAATAATTATAAATGTGTATGTATCCGCCTTTAAACACAATTATTAAATATTTCACGTTGTGAAACACTTTCTACGTCTTGCTTTGAGGAATAACTCTCTTAATCGAATTTTTAGATCTTTTGCAATTTGAAAAACGTGAACCCTAGGCTTGAACTACAGTGTTCAAATTCCAAGTGAAAATTATTAAATCAGGCAGACAGCCGGAGGGGGGACCAGCCAGAGATGATGAGCAAAGGCATGACTTATACTTATTTATAACGAAAATTTAAATCTATACCGGAGATAGAGATAGCACCAACACCCACATCTACACAGCGCGATTGATAGATACGTTTAGAAAGCAGCGACAACAACAACAACAACAAAGAAAGGTTACAGATAGTGGAAGCCAAAGCTTATCAATCTGACTTGATGTAGAAACTCAGGGAATACAGAATATACATATTCTGGTCACGGAAAGGACTCAAATGAAGATGTGGGTGGGCAACCAACAAGATCACTCACCTGTAGACTGTGATGGACAGACGATGTCCGTCGTTGAAGATCATATCCTTGGAGAGGTGCATTGTGCCGTTGGTATTGTTGACGTTGGACCAATCCTTGAGTATGCGATGATCATAGACAACCTCATTTACCTCACCAGAATGGGCCATCTTCACATCGACAAAACCAGTCTATCGATTCACTTTTTGGTTGCTGTATTTTGGTGCTTTACTTTCAAATTGTTCTTCTAATTGATATGTTTAATTGTGTTATTTCTATATATTAAAAAAAAATTTGTTGTTAAAATAATTATAAGAATATAGAATGCACTCTATATATTTATCTATTTATTTTGTATTTTATTTATTTGTATAATATTGATTTGCATAGTTTCCACATAGTCTGTTTAGCTTCAGACAAAAAGTGTGTTTATAGAAGCACCAAGTCGGATATTGTATATCTACAGTGTTATTTATGAATTCCTGCTCTAATGATTGGAAGCTATTTTCAGTTGGCTATTCGACTTTCCTGCGGTGTTCGCTTGCTGGACAAGAAAGTGTTTTCAAAAACTTTACAACTTTGTTGCAAGGTGGGGGCCTGTCATTAAATTTCTGAATATATTATAATGTTTTTATTTTGCGTTGCATTATTTGTTGATTCGCTCGTGTGACAGACGCTCGAGATTACCAGATAATACGAGTGAAAACAGAATGCGTGATGGGAGACTCCTGGAGAGTCCTCTCTCGGCATCCGGGCCGAATTGAGTTAATTGAAACGAATTCCACTCGATGCCGTACTGTGTGTGTTTTTCTTTGATAAGTTCAAGAACATTTGTATTTGTTTTTGTATTTTTATTATGGCTCGGTTCTGTTTTGATTTTCGTTTTTGGATTTGTTTGTTGCATGGAGCTGTGACCTTGAACTAATTACTCGAACACTCCCCTGCCCGCACACATTGCGGAATATTTTCCATTTCCAAGTGATAATAATAAAAAATTCCACTTATGCTTCCACTGTGCTCTGTGCCGTGTCGTCTCTTCCCTAGCATTAGTACTACAATAATTATGGAGTGGAGAGCAGCTCGTTGGCTTATTAATCTGTTAATCAATTGCGCTCAATCGAACGGTACGATACGGTACGGTAAGGTCGCTCACTCAATTGAACAGCGACAAATTGTTCTCCGCAGCAATCCTTGAGTCGGAATGGGAATTGTTTACGGTCTATTTGTTTGGACGCGCCGCGTTTGATGCCTTTTGAACTTGGCATTTTAATGTGCGAACACATACACATAATTAAACATGTTTTTGTTTTAAATTAAGGCAAGCAGATGGCATAAAACATTATCCATAAACCCAACCCCTACCCCTTAGTTCAGCCAAGTGCTGGAACAGCTCTAAGTATATGTACGTAACCCTGCGCTGCAACTAGTTTCCACTAGCCAGCAATAAGTATCAATTAATCATTTGTAATCCATATACTTATTGGAGGCGTAATCAATGATTACGAGTATGCGTACGTGCTCTATAATTTCTTTTCATCCATATACAATTTCCTATATGTACATAAATACATTTTTATTTTTGCATTTATTTTCCTCTCATTTTGCGATTTCCGTTTTGTTCTGTGTTTTCTAAACACGCGGTCGCACCGTGTACGCGAATAACATATTTCAAATATAGACCGAAAAAGTTTTAAATAATTTACACGGTTTTTTGCACACCTTTCGCAACACTGCCGAACGGCTTTACAAGCTATGATTGGCCGCCCGCCCACGCACAACACACGCACACACACTCACACGCGTCTTTTTTTATCGATATCGATAGCTCATTTGGGCAATTAATTTTTAATTATCGGCTAACGGTACACGATTCGGTTCGGTTCTTCTTTTCTTCGATTTCCACCGAACGGCGAGCAGGAACTGACTAAACGGGCAAGGCGGCGACTGCGGCTGCTGTGCCCACTGCCTGCTGCCGTGAAATCGAAATCTCGACAACAACTGATAATCTAATAAAGAGAGAGAAGTACAAGTACAAAAAAAAAGTGCGACTCGGGCGTCTTCTAGTTCGCAACGCCGCCGCCGCCGCCGCTGCCGCCCCGCGATAACGGTAGCAGCATCGGGCGACCCCAATTGTGTGTGATGCTCGAGCCTGTTTTTATGTGTGTGTGTGTGTGTGTGTGGTCCGCCCGCATAAAATTTCACGTTTATCAATGCGTGTGCGCGTGTGTATGTGTGTTTGTGTAAATTCAAAGTTCAACGTCAGGCTAGGCTCGGCCCAGCCGGCTCTCAATCTATCTGTCTGCCAGCCAGCCTCCCGATCGCCATATGTCTCAACTTTTTGCTCATCTTTTCGGTTATCAGGCAGGGGGCCGAAAACAAAAAAGAAATACAAATAAAAGAAACATCATTAAATTTAATATTACTTTTTGGTCTTATCTGTTGTGTGTCTGGGTGGCGGCACGACACGTCTTGACTTTGCCTCCGTAATGATACAAATATTCCGACTTTCCGCCGATGCGCAGTTTATCCTTTTTCCGGGAGATTTCAGCACTTGTATATTCGTTGAGCAGCCACTGGCATCTGCCGGTAGTCCTGTGCCAAGGCTAACGATTTAACCTACGGCTAAACTGACGGCGAGTCGCAATTGCAAAACTGGCGCAAAACCATTCATTAAATCTAATGAGGGGCACCACTGTGTTTGGTTCAACAAAAGGATTTCGTTTCAAGTTCATGTTCAGGGGCCGTATGGCATGGCACCCGCTTTTGTATGCTATGAATGTGTATGGGTGTACGTGCGTGCTGCTGGTCGCGCGCTATCAAGATGCACCTGGCGCACTTGATAAGACGGTCAATCTGTCAATTACAACGAATGAGCATGTGGCATTAAGTACATACATGCTCTAAACGGCATGTAAATCAGCTTTTAAAGTGGCAATTTCGCTTAGTTCTGATGCAACAGCATTAACTTTGGATAGAATCATCATACTAAATGATCATACCTTGCTGGCATTCATATTTATATATATCCCTCGACTAATCCTTTCTTTTAGTCACCCAATTCTCCATGAAATAAGCTGAGGATTATCAGTTTGTTTTTCGTATCAAAATATATAATTTATTAGTATCAAAATATAAGGTTTTCATATCAAAATATATGGTTTCATTATCATTGAGAAAAGAAAAGATCCCCAGAGAACCAGAATTTGCCAGTCACAGCCAAAGCACAAATTGAAGACCCAGATAATCCACAGACAGTGTTGAACCATTAAACTTTAACCTCTTGAAGACGTTTTGAAGATGAAGATGCAGATGATTTGAATTGGAAGAATGTGTTTAAATCAGCTGGATGGGGGAATAAAGTTCAAATAAATATTACTTCGAACAGGAACAAAATATTTTCTTTTGAAATAAACCTGAAGAATAACCTTTGGGTGTATTGCAAAAGTGGCTGAATGTTTGTGTGTATTTGGGTGTTTGGTGTACTAGAGAGAGACTTAATCCTCTGGCTTGTGCGACCAATGATCCGCTGTGCTGATGTGCTGCCGTCACATATTAATACCGATAACTGTAAAAAAGATATTATTTCAATTAAAAAATATTAATGGAAAAAAATAATTTTTCTCACGTTTTTTTCTTGTTAGTTGTTGTTTCTCGCTGAAGTTTCCGGTTTGGCACACATTATTTTTACAAAATAAACTTTCAACTTAATATCTAAAAAAAAAATTCGAAAATTAAACTTTTTTAAATATCAAATTTTTCAATAAAATAATTTTGCTCACATTTTTTTAAAACTTTTTTGTTGTTTTTTTCTGCTTGCTGAATTTTTACTGTTAGCTCACATTTTTTTTTTACAAAATTCACTTTTAACTTAATATCTAATATAAAAAAAAAAATGATGGAATGCTACTTTTTTAAAATTTAGAATATTTAGTTGTTTGCTCTCTGCCGTTCCTAGGACTACTGAATATTTTGCAGTAGCTCCAAACTATGTCGATTTTGACAGCTGGGACTTGGTCGGTCATGGACTACTTGTTTCAATTTATGAAAATGATGTGGACTGTATTCTGATCGAAAGTTGTTTGTTTATGATAAAAATTTGAACTATACTATAAATATGTACTACGTGTATGTAGCTATGCATCCTGGACTTTTTTTTAGGCAAATCTAAAAAATAATTATTGATTTGGCCCAAATTTAAAATAATTTCCTCTGAAAATATCTTCAAGCGTGCTCCCTCTTTCGGCAGGTGCCGGCGGTACGAAACCTAATGTAAAATGGTAAGTAATTAAGTTCGTTTCGCGGTATATTTGCGGTATACTTTTAAAACTGAAAAGGTCTATTTCGGTATATTTCTGTAGGGTCACATTGACATGTGGTCCAAAATCAAAACAAATTAGATTTTCAATTAAATATTTAGAAAATGCTGCGAAAGTCAAAGAAAGAGCCACAAACAGTGGCCGATAAAGTCAGCAAACTGTTGGCGCATCCCAATGACAGCGATTCGGAGGAGGACTCAGACTTTGATGTGGCCACAGGGCCGCGTGTTGTCGATTTCGAGCAAGACGAATACGATCTGCCGGATGCGCGGAGCACGGACATTCGCAAGCGAAATGTAAAGCTGCTGTCAGAGCAGAGTGAGCGCTACAAGGGAAAGATCAGCAGTCGAAAGGAACTGGAGGAGGAGGAAGAGGAAGACCAGAGCGAGGATGAGGTGTCCTATGAGGACAGCGACAGCGATGAAGATGATGCTTTGGCTTCGTTTAATCAGAAACTGAAAGCGGGAGCTAGCAAATTAGCAGATGATGAGGAAAGCTCTGGAGATGAGGATGACGATGGTGATGAAGCTGCACTCGCTGTCTTTAATCAGAAGTTTAAGTCTGCAAGCGAAGAAGAGGATGCTGAAGACTTCGACGACGAAGAGGAAGATGATGACGACGACGATGATGAGGAAGAGGAAGACGACGATGAAGAAGATAACGATGACGATGATGAGACTGAGGCAGATGATAGCATAAAACCCTCTGATGTCATGTCTAAATCGAATCCCCAAGCAGAAATCCAAAAGGGTCTCTGCGTCCAGAACCAATTGCGCATCTGGGAACGTCTGCTGGAGCTGCGCATGAACACGCAAAAGGTCACCAGCAAAGCGAATCAGCTACCACCGCCTGAGACCCTTAAAAGCCTTGGCTCCGAGAACGAGGAGCTTCAGTCGGTGCTGAGCGAGGCCACGGAACGATCATCGAAACTGCTACGTCAGCTGCTGGCCCTGCAGACGGCGCTCAGTCAACAGAACTCAGAGACGATGAAATCGGTCAAGCGAAAGGCACTGCCATCGGAGGAGATAGAACCCCCATTGAAGGTCATTGCGAGTGTCCTGCAAAGCAACTTCCAGAACATGACAAGCTACCGCAATGAGGTGCTGCTCAAGTGGGACGATCGCACGAAACTGCTGACGCCAGGCGCGGGTCTGAAGCGGAAGTCGCTGCAGGAGGACTACGACATCATCAAGAAGATCGACAGTGCCCTGGCCAATCGGGAGGCGCTCGTTGAGAAGTCACAGACGCTGAAGAGCAACCAGCCGGAGCAAGAGAACGATCCTCCAGCTCAGCGTCAGCCCCATGTGTACGACGACAGCGACTTCTACCATCAGCAACTGCGCGAATTGATTGAATACAAGGCCAGCTCCTCATCCAACATGAGTGAGATCACAAAGCAATTTGTGGAGCTGCAAAAGTTGCGCCAGAAAATGAAGAAGAAGGTCGACACCAGAGCCAGCAAAGGGCGCAAGTTGCGGTGAGCAATTGAAGACAATCCAATCCCATTCAGAGTTGAACCATCTACTAATTCCCATGTTTTTCTTTCAGCTATGTGGTGCACAATAAGCTCACAAATTTCATGGCTCCCAACGAGGCTTGCGAGTGGACGGAAAGCTCAAAATCCGAGCTATATAAATCGTTGTTTGTTTAGCCAAATGTGTCTTCATTTTCTATAGATTATACATACTATTTCCAGTATCGTTGAACAAAGAAATCAAAATAATTGTTTTGTTTGATATGGTCTCGGGAATGGCACTAAATGTGGAAAATGTTTTCGTTCTCCGCAACTGTATGAAATATTTATACCAAAATGAAATATGTGAAGTTTGATATAACTGGAATAAAACTTGTAAGGATTTTCTGTAAAAAGAATGATGAAATACTTATTAAAAGGACTCCCCACTCAGTGGGTATTTCTCCAGGAAGGTGGATTCCTGGGATACTTTTAATTTTACAGATCTCTTCATTAAGAAGTTCAATCCTATTCCAAATCTTGTAAAAATTGTCCCAGCTGCCTGTTTCCTTTCTGTAGATAAATGCTACCTTAGTAATGCCTAAACTCCCAAAGAGTCCATAAAAAATCCCGTTTAAATGAGAAACCATTTAGATTGAATTTGAGTTTTATTTATTTCCATATATTTATGTATATTTTCACTTTTCGTTTGCTTTTTATTATTAACTGCTAAATTTTTGTTTGTTCAACATTTATATTTTCGTTTCGTTACTTTTTTCTTTTATTTGTATTTTTATTTTATTCGCTTGTCAACTGGGATAAATTATGTATGCCGCATAACAAGTATGGCTTGAATATAACCGCAAATGTACAGTCAGCACATAACCGCTTCTTAACCGTTTCCGTTAGTGGGTTTCGTTTATTTAGTGGGTGTTTGTTTTGGTTTTTGTTTTTGTTGTTGTGTGGTTGTGGGTGTGTAAGGAGGATTATTTTATGTACTATTTTGCTGCTGGCTTTTCCGAGTTAGCATTTTTAGTATTTTATTTATATTTTATATATATAATTTGTTAATATATTAAACTAGTTTTCCACATGACTCGTGACCTTTGACTTGGTATTCGTTTAAATTACTTTGCTAGTGTTTTTCGTTATTTTTACTGGGACTTGTTCTGTTCCCTCTTCTTCGCCCTTCGTTCGTGTTGTTTTTTCTGTTATTTATAAAATTCTCTTTATTTTTATAGATTTTTATGTACCATATATGGTTTGCGTTTTGCTTTCTTTTCTTAGTATGTTCGTCGTCTAAGTCATTGTTTAGTTATACATACGGTAAATTCATATATTTATGTTGTATATATGTATAGTATTATGTATGCATAATGTTTTAGTGAAATTATCGTTATAAATTGCAAATACATTGATGATGGAGGGGTCTTTCCAGAGTACATTTAAAAAAAACACACAAAACAGTACAATAAATAAATATATAAATTAGTTTAAAAACACTATAAAATAAAACAGTTTGTTTTGTCGAGCACATTTACAAAATAAAATGCTTGTCGCTTTTTGTTCGATAGAATTTGTGATGTCTTTGGGAAATGAGTTTGGGTTTTGTTTTTGTTTGGGGGTAAGATGTTTTTCATTGTCAAGCTCTCATTAAAAATTAATTAACAATTAGCTGAAATTGTGTGGAGTACAAACACGCACATATAATATCATTGTTTATATTGCATAAATATTGCACTGGGAATATTCGCGCACGAGAATTAAATCAATTTTTCGTTCACTTTCTGCTTAAAAGATCTGCAAAAAGTCGAGACGATTCGGTTTAAAAATACTGTGGTGTGGGGGAGGGTGGGAGATTAGGGGGGACACAAAAAAGACGCTATACATACAAATGACGAAACTCTAAGCCTACAATGATTGTGGGGGAGGGGTGTGAGTGGTACAAATACATAAGGGGGGTGCCTGCCATTTTCCTCTTGACGTTACTCTCGTCCTTTTTCCTTTTTTGTATACAAACTACCAATATATAAAGATTACAAAAATGCCGCTGACTACATTTCTCATCCATTTCTTCCTGCGATTCTCTAATTGTTAATGGAATTTTTCAGCAACAGGGGCAGCCCGGTTTTAGTTTTTGATTTTGATACGAGTATTGTGGCAGTTTTTGCCCCCCCACCAGAGGCGGCTGCGGCAGTCTCCGCAGCGGCAGCAGCAGCTGCCTCACTGGCGGCCACTGAGCTGCTGCTGCGAAGTCGCGGTGCAGCCTGTCGTTGGTGCAGCTCCTGCAGCAGGGCCGAGTGCTTGTCGAGGGCTTTCAGCTGTGCCGTGTTCTGGGTCTCATACAGCGACGACTGCAGCTGAGTGTGGATCGAGGTGACATTCGAGAGCGTGCTCTCGGCCTCGGCCATAAGAAAATTGCTTAAATAACGTTTACTAGTTGTGGTGGTCGATGATGTCGTTGTAGTTGTTGTTGTTGTGGTTGCCATTGTAGTCTGTTCCTGCGCTGAAACCTGCAGAATAAACATTAAAGGAAAGATCTATCTTCTCCTGGCAACTCGTGCAAACCTTTCTTTTAACCCCCGACTCTGTGTCTCAAGTGCACTTGGCGGGATGTATAACATTTTCCATATCCTTTTGCACGGCATACAGCTCCGACAGCTGCTTGGCAAACACCACATTCAGTTCGCTCAGTTTTGCCAGCTGCAAAAAAGGAGAGTAAACGTAATTTATGGATTGATATCCCTTCCACTTGCACTTACAGTCTGATCATTGCACTTTTCCCTTAGCGTTAGATTCACCGTCTTAAGCTCTAGTTCCTGTTGCAGCAACTCCGCCTGTTGTTGCTCTGTGCGCGCCTTCAGGGCCGCCACTTCGCGACGCAGTTCATCCTCTGTACCTGTCCCGGCAGCCGCACCAGCTCCAGCAGCACCTCCAACGCGCATCATATCCATTTCACGCTTTAGGCGGATATTCTCCTCCTTGTAGGTGTGCAATTGACGCTTCCATTCGTCCACATTGGCCGTCGATTCCTAAAAAAGAAAGGGATAATTAGAACAAGAATGGATTGTAGCTGAAAACAACGAAGAACTCACCTGCAATGCACTGGTCAGGCGTATGTTGTTGTTCTTTAAGGTCGCCAGCTCGATTTCCCACTTCTTGGCATTGGCACAGCTTTAAACAAAAACAGTTGTTGGGGTTACGATCCCTTGGAGAATGCTCTTCTTTTGCTCACCTTTGTGCCAGTGCCATTTTCAGGCGTTCATTCTCGTATTTTAGCTGCTGCTCGGCTGTGGCACCCGCTCCCGGTCCCGTATGCATGCCCACAATGCTTCCGCCCGAGGAGATTGTTACACCGCCTCCTCTCAAATCGCCTGCTCCTACATTAGTGGGCTGTGGTGAGGGCGTGGCCGAGCCAATGTCCGGCTTGCCGTCGCTGGTGTTCAGCAGCTTGTGGGAGGGACTGTCCGGATTGGCGTTCTGTGTGTTTGTATTGCTCATATTTGGCGGCTCCACGGTATGCGGATCGATGGCAGTATTATCGTTTTGCATGGCACCAATGGCCCGTCCGGAAATGGGCGAAGTATTTGCTGATGTGGTGGGCGTTACGGCATTCGAGCCATTTGCCGATTTCATGGCATTTTTGGTTGCCTCCTTCACCTCCTGGAATTTCTCAACAAACTGAAAAGGGAAAGGGGAGTGTTACGTTAAGAGGCGAGGAGGAAAGTTCAACCAATCGATTGTGGTGATTGGCCATTACCTTTGTCAACTCTGCCTCGGAGGCAAAGCCCAGTCCATACACCGTATTGGCACGCACATCGCTCCACTGGCCAAACTTCTGGGAGGTCTGTGTGAATGTCATGTTCGGGGTGATGGTGGAGTTGATCACCGCCTTGGTGCCCTCGACACTAATGATGCGATACAGATTCCGCGAGCTGTCGTAAAAGAAGCTCACATTTACGGCCTTCATGCTGGCGGTGATCCAGGTGCGTTTCGTCTTGGGATCAATATGGAAAACATGCGCCTGGCAGGTAAAAATCGGTTGTTCGCTGTGGAGTAGAGACAGAGAGTAGGGTGGGTGGGTGCGACACACACACAGGTGAGATTAAATTAAAAATTCCATTTTATAGCCCCAACCCCTTGCCAGCACCTAATTAATATTTAATGCTTGTCTTTATCTATTACCAAGTCGCTGACATTGCTATTCTCTCTCTCACTGGGTGCGTATTCCGTGCGTCGCGTTCTTTTCTCTTCCTGTTGTTCTGTTTGCGTGGGCGGCAGCGACTGGCTGGGCTGGCTGGCTGGCGACTGGCGACGACTAAATTGCATTAAGTGCTTAAGCCCTTTGCCTTTGGCCCCGCAGCCTTGCCTTTGATTCCGTCTCAAGCACGGCCACACACTCTTTCATGTACATAATTGGACAGGCCAAATACTAGCTGCACATAGATATGTACATCTGCAATATCTACTTACGTACATATATATACGCCGCCCGCTACACACTACACACCATGGAAATGTCAGCGACACCGACGGCGTCGATTTTTCCCACACAATATTCAATATTTCACACACATTTACACTCGAAACCGGCCTTACCCCATGGTATTTGTATGCTTTGGCGCTTTACTGGCTCTTCTAGCAACGAATTAACGGCGACCCAGGTGCTTATTCGTCGTAATTTGTTGTTACAAAATAAATAAAACAAACGCTTGCAAAAATGGAGAGTATGTGACCACGGATTTGTCGCCGAAATATACCGCCTGACCACCAAAAATATACCGAAAACATACGTGGTCACCATTAAAATATACCGTTATTATTCTGTTATTAACAGCGGACATTGGGGAAATGTTAAAGCAGCTTTTCAAATATCTTACTGGAAAATTGCTCAGATGAAAACAGGGTATGGAAAATATGAAATATGTAAATATGACAAGTAACCTCCCCAAATATTCCAAACACATCATGATGGAATTGGTTTTTGTGGTTTTATGCGACATTGTCCGAACTTTGCCAGGACAGTTTTGTACGTTATTTGTTCCTGTTTTCCATACCTTTATTTGAATAAATTTAATTGTATTAAGCTTGTAAGCTACTTTTATAACGTTCTGGCAACACTATACATATCGATCATCGATGTTTTTGCAAGCAGCATCTACGGCAGAAATGCTGTCCAGATCTAGCATGTTTCTAGTTACCTCAAATCTTTTTCACCCCAGTGCAGGATGACCACTTACGGCGAGATTATTGTATACTTACGGTATATCGGTATATAATGGTATATTTAATGAATCTCATCCGTCCATTCACTTCCATATTTAAGGTATACTGAATTACAAAGGGTATCCCAACTCCCATACGAATGTTTTCCAAATGTCCCTCGAGGAGAGTATCGCTTTCCGCAGGAAATTTTCTCTCTCTTTTAAAAAGATGTTGCTCTCTCGCAACATGGGAATTTTCAAGGCGGCAATGAGTCTTTACTCCATCCCCACTTAGGTATTTTACCGTTAGCAACATAATTTGAACAGCACTGTTCATCAACTTTTGGCACGGAATAAGCAACATTTAGTACCCCAATGGGAAGGACATCCTGGAATTGAGGTAATGTTGGATATCTCAGGCTCCAATCAATGTAATAAAGTCAAACTGTGTTGGTGATACATTCCAAAGAATATTTGCAGATTATAGATGCCGAGAATGTTTCTAGATCGATATATATTCCCATAGAAACTATACGACAATTATAAAAACATGTCAGTCTAAGATAAAGTCATTATTAAAGTTTGAGAGCTGATTTGAAATTTTTCTTTTAATATTAATGGTTTATTTTGAAAATTAAAGGGTAACGCAGTGGCAGCGCCGCGCGCTTTCTTTTGATAGAATTTCCCTGACCGTTTCGACGCAGAAGAGAATTTCCCTGACTATCAAATGAAAAATTCGAATACATATTTGTATAATATAAGGTCATAAGGTATACAAAAAATAAAAAGAAGCATTTATAATAAGCCAAATCGATTCTTCAATCGGAATAAACTATTGTTTCAGTGTTAAAAGTCTTTGCAAGCTAGTAATATCAAATAGAACACCAACATTGAGGAATATGGTTTAAAACTACGGTAGATTACGGTATATTTTAAAAATCAGATGCTATATTATGGTATATATTTGAGGATCTGTCGGTATATATTATCGATAATTCCGCGGCCACACTGCCACAGTGGCAACGCCGCGCGTTTTCGTTTTTTTTCGCACACGATAAAAGTTGGAAATTATTGTGATTTTGGTGGAATTGCAAAAAGAATAGAGCCCCAGGACATATGCAAAGGCTAGACAGCAGCCAAAGGTGTTGTTGCTGCTGCTGCCCAGCCGCCGTTCGATCGATTGGGGTACGTTTTCAGCGTAGGAGCAACTCAGCGGAGGGGAGAGTTTTTTCTTGCCTCTTTTTTCACTCTTCTGTTCCCCTTCTTTTTTTTTTTTGCAAAAAAGCCGTCCCCTACGTACGAGTTGTAAAGGTGAAAAGGCGTTTTGGCCAAGTTTTAGACCAGCTGTTGGTTTTAATGAATGGATTTGAGTGTGTTTCAGTTAATTGTAGTTACAAAATGCGTGAGAGCGACACACCTATGATAAAAAATATGTCACTTGTGCGAAAGAGACCGTGTGCGTCCGTGTTCCTCTGTGTGCGTGTGTATATAGCTGTATGGCAGTGTGTGCGTGGGTGACTCTAAAAGTGTGGTTGTGGGCATACATGTGTGTGTGTGTGTAGAAAAACTTGTTATCAATGCGGCGCCTATGATAAAATAAAAGTCTCATTAGACATGTTTCTCAAACGAATTCCAATTGGAATGTCTGTCCCCCTCTCTCTCTCAACCTTGTCTCTCTCTGTAGTGCATTTTAGTGTTGCATGCCTATGTGTGAGTTGTGGCGTGCTCTGGCGTGCCCCAAGTAAATAATGTGGAACATGATGTGCGACGTAATGCCCACGATTTCGGAGGACAGCATATCGCAGCGCTCCTCGCAGTTCAGCGGCGAGGATGCCAACTTCGAGCAGCTGATGGTCTCCATGCTCGATGAGCGGGACAAGCTGATGGACAGCCTGCGCGAGGCGCAGGAGCGGCTCGGCGAAACAGAAGTGAAGCTGCACGATGTGGAAAAGGAGCGTGACAGTCTCCAGCGTCAGATCAATGCAAATCTGCCGCAGGTGAGTGGGAGCCTAAGAGCTTAGAGGTTAGAGGAAATACTAATCCCTGAATATATGTATTTCTTCTAGGAGTTTGCGACGCTCACAAAGGAGTTGACACAGGCACGCGAGACATTGCTTGAGCGTGATGAGGAGATTGGCGAACTCAAGGCGGAACGAAACAATACCAGGGTAAGAAGCTTTGGGGCAGCTCCCCGCCATGTAGTACATCCCAAAATCCATTGCTAAATATGGGTACCTCTCTTCTCTTTCTTTCCCGCAGCTGCTACTCGAGCATCTGGAGTGCCTGGTGTCGCGGCATGAACGCTCACTGAGAATGACAGTGGTGAAACGGCAGGCTGCCGCCCAGAGCGGCGTCTCCAGTGAGGTGGAAGTGCTCAAAGCCCTGAAATCCCTCTTCGAGCACCATAAGGCTCTGGACGAGAAGGTGCGCGAGCGATTGCGTCTCTCCATCGAGAAAAACAATGTGCTGGAGGAGGAGCTGAATACAACCAAAGAGGAGCTGACGCAATACAAGGCGGGTGGCACGGGCTCCGGATCAGGGAGTGGCTCCCTTCCCAGCGGCGGCACTGAGAATGGCCTGAAAGAGAAGGTGCGTACGCGGGTGTGCAATCAACCGTGTCGCCTAGGGCACAGATCTAAAACCAATTTCTCGTTCGTTTTGTATTTTCTGTTTCGTTAGATGGCTGGCGGCGTGGGCGGAGCTGGCGGCGTCAATGGGGAGGCCAATGAGCTCAATGATTATGCGGCCAAAACCCACGAACTGCAGACGATCATCGAGAAGCAGGTGAGAGACAGAGAGAGAGTGGCAGGCAGGCGGCCACACAGCATCTGTTGAACATGTGTTATCCATTCCCCCTCTTGCCCACTCTTTTCATGCCGCAGACCTCGGAGCTCTCTCAATGGCAGCGACGTGTCTCTGATTTGAACAACAAAATCAGCGAGCTGGAGGAGAACATGTCGCGTGTTCAAAAGGATCACTGCAAGGCGCAGGATCAGTGCTCGAAGCTGCAGCGTGATTTGCGTGAGAATGTGGCCCAAAAGGAGGATCAGGAGGAGCGCATTACCACGCTGGAAAAGCGCTACGTAAATGCCCAGCGCGAGTCGACATCGCTGCATGATCTGAATGAAAAACTGGAGCAGGAATTGCGGCACAAGGAGGCGCAGCTAAAGGTGGGTCCCCAAACAAACTTGCAAATGGGTTATTGGTCACAAAATTCCTTCCTCAAAATGTAACTAATCAACTGGCATCTAATCGAAAACCCACCACGTTATTGCTATCCCCAAAACAAAAACATAAACACACACAAAAACCGATATCGCTATCCAGCTGCACGAGGAAAAGATCGGAGCCATTGAGGAGAAGCTGGAGCTATCCGAACAGAAGCTTGCCCAACATGCCAAACTTCAGCCCGACATGGAAGAGCAGCTGAAGGCCCGCATGGAGGCATTGACTAAGGTAGGAAATAAGGTATGCACTCGAACAACTAATATGCGCGCCATGGCCAGGTTCCCATATTCTGTACGACGACCAAGTATCAGTCGAATTCAATATTCAATTCTCTCCTCTCTATACTTTAAAGCTGTTTCTTTTCTTTCTTTTTGTACACAAAACAAGACTATCTGTCTATCTATCTAACTCTCTGTCTATGTATGTATCCCCCTCTAAGCACAAGAACTCAACTCTTCTATTTCCCTACCAAAATCAGACCAAAAGTAAACCTCACTATTAGCTTTTCATTCCACGCACAATTTTCTACTAATTTCTGTTTATTTTCTTTGCTACTTTATGGATTGTGGAATATGATTACTAAACCTATTTTGGCTTCCGAAAAAAACAAAAAACAAATCGAATTTCAGGCTCAAGAGAGACACGGTTCGGCCGAGGATCGTATACGAGGACTGGAGACGAATCTGGACGAGAAGACCACGGAGGTTGTAAGACTGAACCAGCGTCTCAAGATGAATGAGGAGCACAATCTGCGGCTGTCCTCTACGGTGGATAAGCTGCTGTCAGAGTCCAATGAGCGGTTGCAGGTGCATCTGAAGGAGCGCATGCATGCGCTGGACGAGAAGAACGCTTTGACGCAGGAGCTGGAGAAGGCGCGTAAGGTGGCCGAGGAGCTGCACCACGAGAAGGGCGAAATCATGAAGGAGCTCTCCAAGACGCGCCTGGAGATTGAGAACTTTAAGCGGCAGCTGCTGCAGCAGGAGATTGCCTACAACATCCAGCAGACGGAGGCCCTTACCAGGAGCCTCTCGCCCAGCAGCGTTGTCGATGGTGGTCAGTTCTCACGCAGCGCATCGCATGCCAGCTTCGAGACGCACTCGCTGCGGCGTCAGAAACAGTCGCGGCTAACGGAGGAGAACGCCCTGGCCCGCTCCATGGCCGAGCAGGAGTGGGAGAAGCTGCATGCCCAACAGCAGGCCTACGAGCTGGGGGCCAGCGCCGCGGACTGTGACGACAGCGATATGCTCTATGCGGCAGCCACGGCGGACATGATGTCGCCATCGGGACACACGGATGCCCAGACGCTGGCC